CGAAGTGTCACAGTATCCCTATAGCTATACTACTTATAATGATTATTTCACTGATTGAATCGTCGAACGCGCATCTATAATTTGCTTAGACCATAACTAAAAAATGGCTTCCGCTATCACTCCACACTTAAAAACTTTTTTTTATTAAGTTTTCTTATTTTTTATTATTGTGCTTGTCATTAATTAGGTACAGAATAAATTTATTTTAATTTTTAAAAAATTTATTAACCCACTTAAGATCTTTTCTTTTTTTTAATTCAACATGAACTTAAAATTGTCAGAAACTGGGCCAGTGTCAATAACTGGGTCTTTTACCTTACCTGAGGTTAATGAGGGAAAAACTTTTGTAGCTATTGACACACCCTCGCCGAGAATCGAACCCGTGATCGGTGTTGTCATCTCTCGTTGTCTACTGGTCAGAGCAGTGGTGCGCAAAGCCAAATGTCCCGGGTTCGATTCTCGGCGAGGATGTGACAACAACAGCAAACACTTTTTCCCTCATTAACCTGAGGTAGTTTGTGGTGGACAAAAAATTGAAAATCAATTTTCACATTAATATTTCATATTAACCAATATTAAGAATTAAAAATGTTAACAGTGAACCTCAAGATATACAATTAAATTAAAATTCCATTTACTACGTATAAACTATTCAACTCCAACCGGGGAAATTTTACATGCTCTACCTGTTACAGTAAAAGTTGAGGTACACTCCAGTAGCAATGGTTCAGGTTCGGACGGTAATTTGTCTTCGTCAGAGATGTCAGAAAGATCAGATAACGATCATGATTACGAAGACATCTACTTTACCCAAGAAGAGTTTAGAAGCAAGTCACGAGATCGTGAAGAACAACATTCAGGTGGCAAAAGAGATCTGATTCTCCGTCCCCGTTCGCACTCGATCTCCTCAATCAATTCCAACGTGATCATCTCCAATTTGGAAGAGACCTACGAGTCATCGTCTGCAGGCAACGAAAAGATTATCATATCTGAAAGACACGAAACTTCGGTGGAAATCAACCAGGATAAATCGGGCGTTCGACATTCGCTGCCCCACAAAGGAGTTAACAATAACAAGCTTTTGAAACGTACTACATCCACCCCGGCAAATATATCTTCTCCACCGCCACCACCCCCTCCATTGCCCAGCAACGACTGCAAGTTCGAAACGGACTTTATTTTTGCAAGGCAAAAGAGAACAGAATCCGTTCGAGAAGACGCTAGCGTCGAAAACGAAGTAGAGGTGATTCAAGAACCAACACTAAAGCCCTCTGAAATTATTAAGGGAAACATCAAGAACATGTCGTCTCTCAGTGAGTAATTTTGTCTTCTGAAATTCTTCTCGTTTTTAAACAAATGATTCATGTTCCAGCAACTTCGAGGCGCCACAACTCATCGTCTTGCTCAGACCTGACCATCATCAGTCTGGAAATGGAAACATCATCTTCAGAGAAACCGTATCCCCATTTGGTCAACAAGCAACGCGTTTTGCCCTTTGTACCGCCCAGTTTCCTTGGGGTCAGCAGCGATTCCAACAACCTCATCAAACCTTCTGAATATCTCAAAAGCATCAACGACAAAAGGTCTGCAACACCTCTCCGGTTGGGAATGAGAAGGTGTTCGCAACAAGAAGAGAAATCGACAACAGTCTCCGTTATTAAGGACGATAGGAAATCAGGAAGCGGCTTCGTAGGACCACCACCTCCACCACTACCCCAAGCCGAAGATGGAGAGAAAGACGAAGAAACGAAACAAACAACAGGAGCACCCTCCACGGACACCGCAAAGAAACAATCGCAACCACTTTCGACAATTAGTATAAAAGATCTTCATTCCGTCCAACTGAGGAAGACGGATAAAATTGCCGCTACCAAAACGTTTTCCGCACCCACCAGGAGCCTTAGTCTGCAGTGTCTTCAAAGTGAATCGTTTCTGGCACAGAAAAGTGACCTGATAGCGGAGCTGAAGATGTCCAAAGACATTTGTGGCATCAAGAAGATGAAAGTGGAGAAAGCAAAGGTCGAAGAACGCCAAGAGAAAGCCCTCATTACGGAAATAAGTAAACAATTCAACCCCAACAACTTTGTCGAAAAGGTCAGTCCATAATAACAATAAATCATCATCATCATAAGGTCATCAGTCCTAAGACTGGTTGGACACGCACCTTCATTTTTTCCTATCCTGAGCTAATCTTCGCATTTCCCTAAAACTAGAATAGCCCACATCCTTAACATTTGCTAAGAGTAATCTAATCTAGGTCTACCTCTACCCCTCCTAACTCCTGTTTCTGCCTCTAATATGTCTCTGACCAGACCTTCATGCCTGAGAAGGTGTCCTACCAACCTATCTCGCCTANGTTTCTGCCTCTAATATGTCTCTGACTAGACCTTCATGCCTGAGAAGGTGTCCTACCAACCTATCTCGCCTATTTTTTATTGTCTTCCATAGAGTCCTCTGTTCTCCTATTCTTTCCAATATCTCTTTATTTCTAACTTTTTCTACCCAAGATATCCTCATCATACGCCTATAACACCACATTTCGAACGCTTCTAACCTTTTCTTTTCCGCCGCTCCCACTGTCCAAGTTTCGCACCCGTACAACGCCGTGCTCCAAACATACACCTTTAAATAATAAATAATAATAATCAAATGAAAGAGTAATTTACCAATATTTTACTTGGTAAATTGTTGTTGTGTGTAGATTCCAGACAGAGATAACAGTGGCAATGTTATACCTCCATGGAAGAGACAGATGTTGGCCAAAAAGGCCGCCGAGAAGGCGAAGAGAGAACTCGAAGAGCAGCTACAAAAAGAAGCTGAAGCTAAAAGATTACAATCCATACCACAGTGGAAAAGAAATTTAATCGCCAAGAAAGAAGAAACTGAAAACAAAATAAGGTGAGGTAACATTTAAAATAATCCGATTTTTTCTTCTAAATGACCCTGGCCAAAGTCAAAACAAACAAAATGACTACAACAATATTCACTAGTCAGTCGGTGTTATATGTATGTGAAAAAATTAATTAATAAAAGCATAAATTAAGAAAAAAAATTACAATGCATCGGCCGCGTATTGAACCCGGATCCGGTTATGCGGGCGCCGAGCATCCTTAACCACTGGTCCAATAACGCTTCCAACAAATGCTGCGTATAATAGATCGCCTCGCTATATTTTGGATAGAATTTGAATTTGTTTTAACTGAATATTATTAATTTTAATTTATTTTCATAAACTACTGAATTGTTCATTATTTATTGAAGATCCACAGTATACACTCCAAAATTACTGGACGAACCAAAGTCTCCTAAAGCCTTCGAGATACACGAATGCTCAAAAACAAAAGCTGCAACCTCCCAAGAGGGAAACAAGAATAATCAGGATGACAACAACAACAATAATAACTCGGCATTAAGTAACCCCCTGAAGCAGCAGAGTCCTGATAGTGACGACGAAAAGAATTTGATTCCTTGGAGGGCGCAGTTGAAAAAGACGAACAGTACGTTAAACCTTTTGGAGTAAGTAACTTTTGAAAAATTAATTAAGTAACGAAAAATCAATTTGTTTTAACACTTAAA